AAGACTAAACTAACAGCTGCCAAATGTTTCTAACATTTTGAGAATGCAGTCACTCTCATCACTGTAAATCCTATGCCTGATATTTCATATACTGTAACATTATTTTTATAATGATAGAAATTTGTGAATGAAATCTTCCAATACTTGTTTTAAATGGGGGAGGTAGGGTGAAGGAGGGGTAGAGGCTTCGGTTCTGCCTTGGTATATTAAATTTCTCAGAGGTAATATTACTGATTACCAACAGTAGATGGAGATATAGGCAATATAAACAAGTAATGTGATATTAAAATACACTATTGTGAAAGATAGGAACACCTGTTTTAAGTTTAAAGCCATACATTGTGCTCAGTTTCCTAATCTCAGATGGGATACCAATAGAAGTTGCTACTATTGACAACAAATGAGGCAAAGGACCACCTTTCCCTGTATCTCATTTGTCATTTGGTGATATGTCCTGACTATTTTAAATAATGTTGACCTTTGGGGGAGTGCCATGGGCATATTTGTTTTGGGGGTGTCTCCTATCATTGATGAGCTAAACAAGCTCATCACACATGTATGGCAGTTTTGCTTAAGGTGTGCGCATCAGATTTATGGCATATATTAAATGATTTGTGAGTGGTATCACTGAAATCTACATTCCATATTGGATCCTTTGGTTGCAAGTGTAGCTGCAATGGGTACAGCTAGTAACATATATGCATAAACAGATTAAGAATTATTTTCAGAAAGCAATGCCACTCATAAGATTAATGTCACGAGTTCAAGTGTTGCTGCGATTCTGAAATTGATCTATAAATCTTTAATAAGAAATGGTTTCTCAGATCACGGATTGCCATCCATTTTTATTACGAAAGCTACAAAATTGTTTCCATAACTCGTGATTTAGAAAAATATTCCTGGAATGGATTATAGCTTGGCAGCCCATTAACATGACTGCTACCTTTACAGTCCAGATGGTGTTCTTTTATCAATCTAGACTTCCTCTTAGATATTGTATTTTAGATGCATTTTGGAGCCTTCTATGGTGGTGGGCGGGGGGGAGGGGAATGCATGTGGTCTTTATTTTTACAATTGGTGACCAAGGATGCCTTGAAACTTCAAAAATATAAACAGGGAACCAAATGCCATTTTCTTTGCTTACTACTTCTGAAGAGTACTAATTATTAAAGGAGAAGTAAAGTTGAGGGAAGTACTTACCGCCGATTTTGAAATAATTGTGTTTCAAAGGTAGTAGCGACCCATTTCTGTTCAACTTCTTAGCTAAGCCACTGTCACTAATGGAGAAGGGTTGTACTCTTTCCAGAATAACTGCATGCATCAATGGGATACTGTCTGGGAGCTCCTCTGAAGCCACCAACCACTGTTATACGATGGATAATGAGATATTGCTTTTAAAACTATTATATTCTGAGAGAGAAAAGATTTGAATGGTAAGCACTTCCCCTCAATTAGTTTCCTTCCTCTTTTAAGATTTTCATTGAATTAGCATAATAATATTTAAATTTGAGCTGTGATCAAACCATCTGTGTCTCTTCATTTTTGGGTGTAACCCTATGTCACAAGATTTCTGATCATAGGTCTATTTCACAAATAACTTGATTACTGCATACCGCACTATTCCAACAAGTGCCCAATTCCAAGTGCCCCGATTTTGGTACATAGTCCTTTCTCACAAGTACCTTGATTTCTGCATGTAGCCCGATCATGCAGCCACCAAACTAACCTACCCACTCTCTTTGCTCAGCACACACCGCTTTATGTTCCTCACCCTACCCACCCACCATTGGCAGTCGAGCTTTCAGCCAATCTACCCCCATTCTCTGGAACTCCATCCCTCAGATTCAGACCCTGATTTCTGTATATAGTCCTATGTCACAAATGACCCTAATTTCCGAACATCTCACAATTACCCCAATAAGGCACAGCTTTATCTCAGGTATCCCTGATTTCTCTATTTTTCCAGCGTTGAGTGTATCAGACAGTGTTCCAGCATGGGGCTTGAACCCACTGTATTCTGACTCAGAGGCAAGAGTGTCACTGTACTAACTCAGACAGACTGATATAGCTCTAACACTCAAGGGGGGAACCAAGCAAAGATGGCAAAATTATGAACCAACAGTGATCAGTTGACATCCATGTCGTCCAGTTCAAAAAAAGAGGATTGGGCTGGCAAATTATATTTTTAATAAGAAATATGAACTTAACTGAGATTGTCAGATGTCAAGTCCTAAAGTCCAACCTTTCAACCGCACAAATGTAATGGTTTGTTGAAGTTCATATGTTTGAGATTTAAGGGACAAATATTTCCTAAATTGTCATGGTTTGTTAAATTCAAAGAATGAGAAGGGTTTTCAAGGGAAAACCTGTATAGGGAAAGCACTTCATTGTGAGGAGGAAATGAAACTGGGATACACATTTCAAACAAACACCAATTCTGCACAGAGCAACATGAAACTAACCTGTATTTTGAAGCAAGCTTATCTTGAAATCAATCATATTTTGAAATTGGCAATCTAGTGTTTTTTCTGGTTTTTTTTTCATCTCATACTCAATCCTTTACATAAAGTTTACACGATGTGCTATTTATTCATTATTTTATCTTTAGCAATTTATTTACTAACAATTATAATTGGAAAATATACAACTAAGATTATTGTTATTTTCGTAAGGACGAGACTATGAAACCAAATCTTGTTTTGTAAATTATCCATTCCAAAAAGTAAACAATAAACCTGAAACCAGACAACTGTAATAAATTGGACACTCACACTCTGGGGTCCCCAAGCCTTGGCTCTTGTCAACCTACGCCTAACTCTTTGGAATTAGGTAAGCAGGATGCATCCTTCCAGGGAGAGAGTGCACATTCCATTCCAATAAACATCTCTGGAATTTCCATTTATATGGAAATCAGTTTGGTGTGGATGCTCTTAAACATTGTGATTGCACATGTAACAGACACCTGGCTGAAAAAAAATTAGGAGAGGGAGTTATCAAAAAATCCAAGTTCTAAATTGGATGGATAAACTAGAAAGACCGATGGTCTACTTCTGGCTGATTTTGTAACTGATATAAAACACCATATATCCATGCACTGATTACATAACGGACCATCCGCTTTGGGGACTCTGACGCAGAAAACATGTCAAATGATGTTGGGAATTTTTATGATGTATGCACATGTGGTTGAAGTGATTTTAAAGAAGTGGAACTGTGAATAGGTAGTGCAGGTACGTATAGATCCAGGATCTGGATAAATACAGTTTAGAAAGAGAAACATACACAGACCAAAAAGCAGAAGATTAGAAAACAGACAGAGAAGCAGAAGATTAGTGAGAGAGAAAAACAAGAGGCAGAGGATTTGCGAGAGAGAGAAACAGACAGAGATTATAGAGAGAGATACAAACAAGAAAAGGATGTTTCTCCTCAGGTCCTGACCAACAATGCCCCAGATAAATTGATCATTCACTTCATGGCTGTTTGTGGGACACTGTGTGTACACATCGGCTATTGCACACACCTACAAAAAAAACACACAATATTCACCAATTGGCCATGAATATTTTAAACCCTTTGGTGCTCTAAGCACAATATCAAATGGAATGATTAGATAGGCAGAGATGGAATATCCACACCATTTTCAGTCATTATGGGTCTTTTTCTTTTTGCAACAACAACAACAACTTGGATTTATATAGCACCCTCCGCGCCGGACGGCGTCTCAGAGCGCTTTACAGTAACGGATCCCGGGACTTAAGTGTCAGCATGGTTCAGTTGGCAGCACTTTTGCCTTCAGGTCAGAAGGTTGTGGACTTCACTCACAATTCAGGCAGACACTCCGGTGCAGAGCTGGGGGTGTGCTGCATTGTCAGAGGTGCTGTCCTTTGGATCAGACGTTAAACCGAGGTCCCATCTCCCTGTCCAAAAGGGCGTTAAAGACTCCGTGGCACGATTCGAAAAGCGCAGGGTTTTCCTCCCGGTGGGGGCCACGTAAAACTGGTCACACGCTCCACGGCCGTTCGCGGGCGCCGCTGCGCGCAAATCGGGTGCCGCGTTTCGCCCGCAAGACGGCCGCGCGGCCGCTGCGGCTTCGTGGCAGGTGTTTCGAGGCCGCGAAGGCGGCCCGCGCGGGCGGGCGCGTGATTGCAGGGCTTGGTGCCACCGCTTATTGTTGGATCGCCTCCTTGCTATTAGCTTGGCCAGCGGACGCGCAGGGCCAGCGCGGGAGGATGGATGAGGAGGGGCAGGTTGCTATGGGTACGGGAGGAAAGGGGGGGGAGGAGAGGGGGTTGGGGGGAGGAGAGGGGGTTGGGGGAGGAGAGGGGGGTGGGGGGGGGGAGGAGGGGGGTTGGGGTGGGGGGAGGAGAGGGGGTTGGGGGTGGGGGGAGGAGAGGGGGGTTGGGGGTGGGGGAGGAGAGGGGGGTAGGAGGTGGGGGGAGGAGAGGGGGTTGGGGTGGGGGGAGGAGAGGGGGTCGGGGGTGGGGGAGGAGAGGGGGGTCGGGGGTGGGGGGAGGAGAGGGGGGTCGGGGGTGGGGGAGGAGAGGGGGGTCGGGGGTGGGGGGAGGAGAGGGGGTCGGGGGTGGGGGAGGAGAGGGGGTCGGGGGTGGGGGGAGGAGAGGGGGTCGGGGGTGGGGGAGGAGGAGGGGGGGTGGGAGGCCGAGCCCCCCCAGTTTGGGCCGGGAGTCACTGCATTTGTCAGCGGCCCCAGAGAGAGAGAGAGAGAGAGGCGGAGTGAGGGCGGGAACCACACACCCAACACCACCAGCAGCAGCAGCACAGGAGGAGGAGGAGGAGCCGGAGACGGCGGCGGCGGTGGCTGTTAAACCACTGCTGCCTCCCACTCCCAACCTCTCTGTGTGTGTGGTGTCTCACTCTCTCTCTCTCTCTCCCGTTACCTGGAAAATAAGGGGAGGAAGGAAAGAAGGAAGGAAAAGAGGGAGGGAGGCGGACAGGCAGCAGGGCCCCGGGCTGCGGGGGGGCTGCGGGGTGGGGAAGGGGCG